TCACAGCCATGTTTAAAGAAAAAAGTAGGGAAAATGTCAAAATGTTAATGGTTGTTTGTTTCTCTGGCTGATGAGAATATGGTGACTATTTTTCCTTTTGTCTCTTTATGCCTTTGCACGCTCTCCAGTACTCTACAGTGGGGATGTATTCATCCAGGTTTACTGAAAGCCCACATCATACCGGGCAGTGTCCTGGGATCCAGACACACAAAGCTCATGAGGCTCAGTACTTGTCTCAGGCTACTTACAGTCTAGTGTCTTATTTTTCTATCGTAACTGCAGCAATTATGGAACAATACAGCTGTTGCTTATGTCATTAGAGTAGGCGAGAAGTAGCATCCTATCCATTTCTCATTTGATATTTGTTTTTGCCTCACACCACCTTTCCAAGCCAACAGAAATCCAGGCTGCTTAATATTCAAAATTATATCCAAAACCCTATGCAAAGTAACTGAATAAAGCTTTCAGAAAGAAATAAATAAGAAAATATCTTTAAGACCTTGGAGTAGACAAGAAGTTCTTAAATGGAATAATGTGCTCACTATAAATGAAAAAAATAGATAATTTGTACTAAATTAAATGAATGAAAACTCTGTTCATCAAACCATGTGTTTGAGAGTGAAAAGGCAGGCCACTGAGGAGAAGAAAGTTTTACTACACATACATGACTCGTATCCAGAATTTCTAAAGTACTCTTAAACAGCAGTAAGAAAAAGGCAGACAGCCCAAAAGAAAAATGAGCAAAGATCTGAACAGGCAATCACAGAAGGATATGCAAATAAACATTGAAAGAGGTTTCCAAATGTTAGTTATCATGGAATGCAAATTAAAACCATGACGTGATAGCACTACATCCCAAAATAAAAGGCAGATAGTAGTGAAGGTGGACAAAGATATGGAACAACTGAACTTTTATATACACCAAATGGAAGTAGAAATTGGTACAATCACTTTAGAAAAGCAGAGGACAGTATCAGCTAAAGCTGAATATGAGCAAACCCTATAATCCAGGAATTCCAGTACTAGGTATATGTACCCAGGAGGAACACATACAGATGTTCTTCATATTACATTTGTAATTGCCAAAAACTATGAACAATCCAAATGTCCATCAGCAGTAGAATGGATAAATACAGTGTAGTATATACATGTAAGCAATACTTTCCCACATTAACTGCAATTAACTATGACTACACATAACAATATTTATAAATATCACAATCATTAATAGTAAGTAAAAGAAGCCAGACATACAGGGTACATACCGCATCATTCTGTGTATGTGACATTTAAAAACAGCTAAACTAATCTATAGTGTTAGGATTCAGGATTATTGAATGATCTGTTGTTTAATATAACTAGTGATTACACTGGTATGTTCCCTTTTGAAAATTCATCAAGACATACTTTTCTGTATGTATGTTAAACATCAGAAGTTATATTAGGTGTAGTTTCATATATGTGTGTGGCATATATGCACACATAATGCAGTATATATGTAAATTATAATGCAAATGTATTTATTTAAACACACGCATACACATATATTCCATCTAAGATGTGATGACTCCTGACCTCCTCTACTGTTCTCCCCAGTCTGAGACTATGGCAGAGCTGCTTGCTCTAACTCCCCTGTTGCATCTCTGTAGCCAGGGATGCAATAATAATTCTAAAAATTATTATTTTTAAACAGAAGCTGGGTCATGTCTGTTCTTTGCTTATAACTGGTAGTAATTTCACATGTAAGTCAGGATAAAATCTTCAGAGGAGACTCAGACCCCTGGCAGCTTATCTAAAATGGCCTTCCCACCTATACCTGTCACGTTTACCCCTTTACCTTGCTTTGTTTTCCTTATAGTTCTTATCACCAACAGCCACACTGTTCAGTAGGTCATTTATTTATAATTGGTCCTTCTACCACTAGTATATAAGGGATGTGAGAGCAGGGACTTTATCTTTCTGCTTTATATCCCTATCATCTGGAACAGTGCTTGGCATACAGTCAAGAATGAATGAATATTATCACCAAAAAACATAGAAAATAGGCAGACTGTATATGTTTAGCCTCTTTGATAGGTAAAAAAACAAAGAATGAAATCACATTAGGAAACAAGAAATGAAATTACTTGAGGATGTTCTCAGGAGTACAGCCAGGCCTTCTTTTTCTCTCCTTCCACCACTTCCTATTCCTCCCTCTGTCCTTCACCTCCCCCATGCCCATACATGCACACCACAGGCACATGCAGGCATAGTTACGAGAATGGAATAAGGACGGTTCTTCTAATGGATGGAAGCAGGGAGTACAAAGTACCCTCTTCAACACAATTTATAGCCACTTTACTCACATCGTAGTCAAAAACTATATTTAATATTATGCGTACATGTGTGTATAGTTATAGAGAGTATATAGTCCTCATGGTTCAGAGTTAAATTAGGTTGACATTAGGACATCCAGATAAAGATTCATTACGTTGAACTGGGCATTTTTATATGAGAAGTGATTTTAGGGTAGATGACACATGATAGTACAAATACGTGATAGTAAAGAATATATCATTTTTCTTGCTGAAAAAATATATATTTGGGGCCCAGGGATGTTCCCTCTGGCATTTTCATAAGATGAAAAACTTTCATAAGAAAAACTTTCAAAGAAAAAAAAACATTCAAAGAAAATCAGAACATTTTGTTAGGTCCTGCAACAAATCAAAAACTTTTAAGGCCCTGAGAATGAATTTTTGGTGAGTATGTCCAGAAACGGAGACCGTTTCCGTCAGAAGTCTCACCTCCCCGTTCTCAGAATGAATTGGAGAGCCCCCGGGGCATACAAGGGTGTTTAAGGTTAATTTCTGTTTCTATATAGATATCAATTACCTTTTCAAAGGGCTACCCTGTGGGATTTGCCACTCGGCAGCTTGTCTAAAAACTAGCTAAATGTGCAAATTTGTGTGTGGGTCTGGGGGAAGGTCCCATTTGGTTGTCAACCTAGTTGACCCTTCACTTTCTGTTGAAGAAAAAAAAGGAGTTTTAGGCCCTTTCATTTACTAAATAGCTGACTCCACAGTTTGTGTTGGTTTGTTTTTTAATCGAAAAACTGGGAAACAGTGATATCACTAAGTCTCTAATATGTGCTCAACTGCTGGAATTAGTCTTCGTCACCTCCTCCCCCTTGGAAAGCAGTTAAGCATAACATCAAGCCAGAACCTTAAAAACAGATCAAATAATCAAATGAAGCCCAAGACACATCAAGTGTAATGAGGCCAATGTCAGAAGATCATTTGTTCATCAAGTAGTTAATATCTTTTAATAAGCAGGAAATGATGGTCAAAGGGAGTGATGGCTTAGACTTCTGTGTGCAAAATAATCATTAATGTCCAAGGAGAAAGCAATGCCAAAGTTCATTTTAAAGGTCAGACTTACAGATCAGGGGCATGCAGGGCCGGGGTCGGGGGAGTGGCAGATTGCACAAGGTAACGAGTTCCTGTGCGTGACTCCGATGCAGGGATTGTGGCTTCATCTTGACCCCACGAGTTGGGAGCTGTGTGATCTAAGGCAAGTTCCTTGACCACTCCGAATCTCAGCTTCCTAAGGATGTAAAACGGGGATGGTAAATATACCTACCATCTGGGGGTTTGTGAAGATTAAATGAGGTCCTAGTTCTACAAATGTTTGTAGCCAGGAATGTGTTACAATAATGTGTAGGATTATTGCTCTGTTTAATACTTCATTAAATATCCCTCTTGCCTTCTCTCAACCTCCTAAAATCACTTCTCCAAGGGCTAGCTAAAATTAGCTGTCATCCTTGAGGTCTGTCTGTCCCTGATGTTTTCTTTAGGATATCTTTTTACCAGCTTAATAAAAATTTTCTGTATATTGCATTTCTGAACTGGCCTGCCTAAACCTTTAGAATAGAACTATGGCCTTCTTTGAAAGTTATTATTATTACTATTATTATTATTGCAAATTATTCATGTTGTACATATAGGAACAAGTAGCTCCCTGAGGCCCTTTAGGATAAAGAGTTTGGAGATGGAGATTCAAACATGAAGGAAATTTCCTTTTCCGCCCCAGGATGTCCCATTTTCCTAAATAATTTCATCTCTAATAGAAAAGGTGCCTGTCTGATAAACACTTACACGGTCCCGAGCACTGAGCTCTGCGTTATTCCTGTGATCCTCACAGCACACTCGTACACCCTGTGCTAGTGTCGCCACTTACGAACAAGAGCACTCTAACTGAATGATGAAGTAAGTGACAGAATCAGGATTTGAATCCAAACCCACCTAATTTGTTTCCCAGTCTTTTTCCATTTGTTCATTATTTACCTCCTGTATTTTAACTAGCTTTGCAGGTCTTTGTTTGCCTTTCTATACTTTTATACTTTAATCCTTGGTGTGCCTATAATGAGGAGGGTAGAGGTCTGTTATCAAAAATGACTAAGGTGCGGTCCCTGTACTTAAGGACCTATTATAATCCATTGACAGGAAGATGACAGGCCAACAAATCTCTATGTGACATGGAAGAATTTAAGAGGTCCTTGAGAGATGGAGCTTCCGTCTCCCCAGCTGTCTCATGGGAATAACACTCTACCTTACAGAGCAGTTGTTAGGATAGAGTGAAATGCTTATGTCAAGTGTTTGGCAAAGACTCGGACTCATAGTAAGTACTCGGTATATGGAATCTATAATGTGGCCAGACAGTTCCAGGATAATAACTAGGATACAAAGCTAGAAAAGCAACTCGGTGCCAAATTTTGAGAGCCTTGAATGCCAGTCTAAAGAGTTTGGACCTTCAGCATGGTAAAAATAATCGTGCCAAGGTCAGTACTCATTCTGAAAGAAATGAAAGCTGATGCTATTTCACATTACCTTTCAAAATTCATCACAAGTGAGATGGAATTGGTGGAAACAGTTGGAACTAGTTTAAAGGACTTTTGTATTTGATGTACTAAAAAGAAAGATGATATTTGCAAGTTTGATGCCCTGCGCTTTTTTCTTCCACAGTAATTAGTGAATGCCAAAGGCAGCAACTGGAGTCGGTGAGCTACTCCTCTCGCTACGCTCTGGGCCTCTTTTATGAAGCTGGCACGAAGATTGATGTCCCTTGGGCTGGGCAGTACATCACCAGTAATCCCTGCATACGCTTCATCTCCATTGATAATAAGAAACGCAATATAGGTCAGTACCTTCATTATTTCCCTTAAATACAGTAACAATGGTGGGTGTAGATCATGAAAGATGCGGTTTAATTGAGTGTTGCCATTCTGCACAGAGCAAGCATTTAACTCCAAGCCACGGGGTGGGAGGGCGGTAAAATTTAATGTCACATTTGGCCAATAATAAAATACACAGTGAAACCAGCAGTTTTTCAGAAAAATTATTCGCAACATGGTTTGTATTACTGAGTTCATGAAAATAGTGTCAGAAGGTTTAAGATTTCAAAATGGCCCAAGATCCATGGCTTTATAATGGATTCATCTGCATGCAAATGTATTTCTCATCATTTGTTTCTTGGCTGAGTTTGTGTTTTAAAAGAATTTGATAAGTGTTGCTCTTGTTTCTTCTCCCCAGGCTAGGGGAGAAAGAGGTAAATGTTATAATGTTATGAAAATCCTTCACTTTAACATAATTTTACTCATTTTCTTCTGGGAGACTCCATAAAATTACTTTGTAAACAATGTAACTTAATGGTAGGTAAAACGTTGCATACGAGCTTCACTAGAATGCCATAAAATCTGCACTCCATCCTTTGTATTGAAGATAGTTATAAAAATTATACTTGAATTGCAAGAATAAACATAACTGATTCATTTCAGGCAAAAAGGTGAAGTGTATTCTTGTTTGTAGTATTGTGATCGCTGAGGTACTGCTTTTTGTGTAATAAATTGTAATAATCTAAAACTACGGAATTCTTGAAAGGGAGTGTCATTTCAAACTGTTACAGTGTTTTACGATACAGTGATGGTTTCATTGAGCCATTAGTTAGAAGTCTTGCTTGACGTAATCATCAACTCTTGTCTCATGGCTTGCCAGGACTTTATAATGGTAGAACTGGGCTGGAGTATGTTTTTATATCAGAGCACGTGATCTTAGAAAAATGTTTCTTTTATAACTTAAAACTCCCTAAGGGGTGGACTGTTTATGTTAACATGATATCACATATATGTACAATCAGCAGTTCATGAAATGCCCTATAACAACAATGGACTAGTCATTTTTTTATTTTTAATTATATTTTATTGATTATGCTATTATAGTTGTCCCAAATTCCCCCCACACTGGCCCTCCTCCACCAAGCACCCCCACTCCCTCAGGCAATCCTCACACCATTGTTCATGTCCATGGGTCATGCGTACATGTTCTTTGGCTACTCCATTTTTTACACTGTACTTTACATCTCCATGGCTATTGTGTAACTACCTATTTGTACTTCTTAATCCCCTCACCTCTTTACCCATTACTCAACACTCCCTTCCCATCTGGTAACTATCAAAACACTCTCTATATCCATGATTCTATCTGTTCTTCTTATTTGCTTAACTTGTTTTTTAGACTCAGCTGTTGATAGATATGTATCTATTGCTATATTATTGTTCATAGTTTTAATTTTCTTCTTTTTCTTAAATAAGTCCCTTTAACATTTCATATAATAATGGTTTAATGATCATGAACTCCTTTAATTAGTTTGGGTTTTTTTGTCTGGGAATCTGCCCTTTGATTCTAAATTAGAGCTTTGCTGGGCAGAGCAATTTTGGGGGTAGGTCCCTGCTTTTCATGACTTTGAATATTTCTTGCCAATCCCTTCTAGCCTAAAAAGTTTCTTTTGAGAAATCAGCTGACAGTCTTATGGGAACTTCCCTGTAGGTAACTGCATTTCTCTTGCTGCTTCTAAGATTCTTTCTTTATCTTTAACCTTTGGCAATTCAATTAGGATGTGTCTTGGAGTGGGCCTCTTTGCATCTATCCTGTTTGGGACTCTCTGTGCTTCTTGAATGTGCATGTCTATTGCTTTCACCAAAGTAGGGAAGTTTTCTTTCATTGCTTTTTCAAATAGATTTCCAACTTGCTCTTTCTCTTCTCCTTTCGGCACGCCTATCATGTGAATATTGGACCTCCTAAAGTTGTCCCAGAGGCTGTCTATACACTATCCTCATTTCCACGGGTTCTTTTTTTCTTCTTGTTATTCTGATTGGTTGTTTTTTGCTTCCTTATGTTCCATATCATTGATGTGACTCTCACCTTCATCCACTCTACTGTTGTTTCCCTACAACTTGTTATTTATTTCAGTTGGTGTATCCTTCATTTCTGACTGGATCTTTTTTATGCTGTTGAGGTCTTCATTAAGTGCCTTAAGCATCCTTATAACCATTTTTCTGAACTCTGCCTCTGATAGATTGCTTATCTCCATTTACTTTGGTTCTTTTTCTGGCATTTTGATCTATTGTTGTTTTTTTTTTCATTTGGGCCATGTTTCTTTGTCTCCTCATATTGGCAACCTTCCTGTGTTTGTTTTTGTGTATTAGACAGAGGTGCTATGACTCTGTGTCTTGGTCTCATGGCCTAATAAAATAGATGTCCTGTAGTGTCCAGTGGCACAGCCTCCCCTATCACCCAAGCTGGGTACTTGAGGCATGCTCTTTTATGTGGGCTGAATACACCCTTCACCCTTCTCTTGTAATTGAGCCTTGATTGCTGTGCATGAAATAGACATGCACATTCAAGAAGCACAGAGAGTCCCAAACAGGATAGATGCAAAGGGTTGTAGCCTAGCCAATCAGGTGTAAGGACTGGCTGTGACCACTGACCACCAACCTGCACCCTCCACGGAGGATCACAGGAGCAGGGTGGTGGTGCTCCAACATGGTCTGTAGCTGTCCACTAGTTGTGTAGGCTCTATGGTTTCTTGGGTGGAGCAGGCCAAGGTTAATCCCAACCTGTATTCTGTCCAGGGCCACCCTGCATAAGCTATAAAGCAATCTGGGATAACGCTACTTGTTCAGGTCTGGGAGATTCCCAGGTGAAGACAAGCTGTGTATCTGGGCTAGCTGCTGCTGGTGCCAGGTCTGGGGCCATTTAGTTATTGCTTATTGATAGGATTTAGGAAGTTGTGAAGCATGAGGCAAGACCAGCCACTCATATGGAAAAGTCACAGTTAACAACTTGGGTGGGCCCATAAGTTGGGTAGGACAAAGTCTCAAGGGATCTCCGGGGTGGGGCAAACAGTGTTAGCTGGGTTGATGGAGTCTTAGATATGGCCCCCACCTGCCAGTTCTGTGGCTCTGTCAAGGGAGGGCTCAGAAAAGGGACATTGGCCTCTGCCTGTTGTTCTGTCTGGGAGAAAGTTGTCCATAGCTCCTGCCTTGATGTCAGACACTTCAGTTCTTCCCTTTATGCTGCTAGTTCCTTTCAAACTGCTTCTCCAGTGTTGGAGCTCAGAAGGAGTGAGTCTGAGTAAGTCCTTGTGTGGGTGCTTTAAGAGGAACTGCTGGGGACTCCAGAAGTTTCTTCTCTGACTTGATCCCACACAAGGGATCAAGTTATGGGGACTTGATTTTTGCAGCTAGAAGTTATGGGGACTTATCTTCCTGGCACTGGATCCCTGGGCTAGGGGGCCTGGTGTGGGGCTGGGACTCCTCTCCTGAGATATCCCACCCAAATTTTTAATCATCACACATGGATGCAAGGCCAGCCCATTCTGTGTCTTTGCCCCTCTTACCAGTCTGGATGGATGTGGTTTCTTTAATTCTGTAGTTGTCAGACCTCCATTTAATTAGATTTCTGACAGTTCTGAGTGATGGTTGTTCTACATTTTAGTTGTGATTTTGATGTGGTTGTGTGAGGAGGCAAGCAGTGTTTACTTATGCTGCTACCTTGACCAGAAGTGGACTAACCATTTTTAACTCTACAACTGCTTCATTCTAAGAAAGAAAAATAGCCCTTGATCCTCATGTTATATGTCATGAATTAGATATTATCCTTTGTGTATTGCTTCATAAGACCTGATATCTGTAAGGATGTATTTAGTAATGTATAATAGAAAAAGAAACAAATTAAACTTGCTTAAACAACATAAGGACATTTATTATATTATCTGGTATAGACTGAATAGTATCCTCCCAAAATTTATGTTGAAGTTTTACCCCCCAACGTGATTATATTTGGATAGAGGACTTTTAGGAAGTAATTAAAGCTAACTGAGGTCACAGGGGTGGGATCTCAATCCAATAGGATTGGTGGCCATATAAATCAAGGAAGAGAGAAAGGTCCCTCTCCACTCTGGTTCACACACCGAGGAAAGGCCGAGTGAGGAGAGTCATGAAGGTGAGAAGGTGAGCTGTCTGCAAACCAAGAAGAGAGTCTTTACTGGGCACCAAATCAGTGAGTATCTTGACCTCAGGCTCCCCAACTTCTAGAGCTGAGAGAAATAGACTTCTGGTGTTTAAGCCATCCAGTCTATGGTATTTTTGTTATGACAGCCCAAGCTTACTGATATATTTTCTAAGAAGTTGGAGAGACTTCAGAATTCATTGATTCAAGAACTGAGTGATATCTTCAAGGACCTAGGATTTATAAGCCTGCACTGCCTTCCACTTTTGATGTTGACGTCCTAAGAGGACTGGCGGAGAGATGGCAATGACTGTTGGGTCACATCTAGACCCAACAATAGTTTCTCTTCTCTGTCTCTGTCCCTGCCTAAGAATCAAGGAAATATTTCCAGAAACTCCTCAACAGGCCTCATCTGGTATCTCATAGGTCAGAAGTGGGTTATCCAACCAGTCCAAAAAAAACCACAGGCAAGGGGACTATCGTGACGAGCCTAGAAAAATTAAGATTTATTCCTGAAAATGGTATTAGGATAATTTTCTCTTCAATCGTATGAGGAGTAGACACCTGAACAAAACAGGGATTTGTTCGAGAGAAAGAACAAAGTAGTTAATGCTGGGTTGGCAACAAATAATGCTTATTATCTTCAAGTCAGTCACATCTTACGTGGGAGGTAAGTTCTAAATTTGGCACATAAAGAACCATGTATATTCAAAATTGTCTTTGAAAATTCCTTAAAACGACATGACATTTTGGAAAGTGATGTAACTTGCAGTAAATTCAGTGTTTTTCCAGCATTCAATAGATTTCAGTCTCTTTGGGTAAGGCCAGATGAAATACTTGGTTTTCTTTTA